GTCTGCCTATAGGTGAGCACATGTGTCTTATAGCAAAAGAATAAAAATAGGAAAAAAGTTGTATGCTTTCCTTCTTTCTGTTTTGTTCACTGGGCCTTACATGAGGTAAACATAAAGTTAAATGTGTTGTTTATTTATTTATTTTTGGAAAGTAGCTAGAAAAAATTTCTTGTCATTAGCTACATGCTATCAAATATGCAGTTGTATTCTTTCTTTTTTTTAAAAAAATCTCTTTTTTAAAAAACAATTATAATTAGAATAAGATAGTAATATATGATTCCTTTTTCTCATGTGAGGAAAGCTGATTTATTTATAGTTAGGCAAGTTTATTTACCAAGGAGCTAATTTTTTGCAAAGATACATATATATGTATTTTATATATATGCTTTTAAATTTTCTAGAGGGCACATATGCTTATTGGCAAGCAAGAGGAAGAAAGTAAGAAAGCACTCCCTATGGAGGATGGCCATGCCACAGTCCTCTCTTCCACTTCCCCCTTCTTTTCATGTTCCCAGCATGTTTTTCAAGTTGGGCAGCACCGTTGCCTCATGTAATCCAGTTGCTTTAACCACTGTGTCACTGGCTGGCCCAACATCACCTGTATTAATATGCTCACATTATTTTTTAAATGACACACAATTATCGTTTTAGTTTACTCCACTGTTGCTTTTGGTAAATTTAAACTCTTAGAAAATCATTACAGGAAAGCCAGGGACTATGATCTAATTGTTACCTTGAGTTAAGTTTTAGAATCAACTTTGTTAAGGACTAGCTTTCTAATTTTAGGTCTTAATTTATCTTAATTTACTTTTGTTCCTTATATATAAAATGGGAATAATAATATTTATCTAAACGTAGTCACAAAATAGACATGATGATAATGAGGTACCAGATGGGAAAGAACTCCAAAAAGTTAAAAGTACTGTAAGGTAATTTTAATATCAGAAATAGTATTTTATAATCATCATATATGGAAAATTTCTTCTTTTATCATTAATGGGATAACTTTTTTAGAGTAAGAGCAGCAAAACCTGCTATCTTAACAGTTTTAAATATAACTCAATAAGTAGCTAAGAAGAAAACATATACTCAAATTATCATACCTAGCTACCTGATAGGTGGTGGTTGAGGTAGCTTCATCCCACATGGCTGATCACAGGGGTTGAGTTCTGGACCCAGTGGTGTGAAATACACACTTGTTATGTGTATATGTGTGCCCAAAATCTCAACAGAAGGGAGAGTTGGAAGAGAAGGGATTGCAGTGTGACCATTCACTATAGAGAGTACTTTTTCTCTGGTGAGTACATGCACCTTCTGGCAAATTTTTTTTAAAAAATTATCATATCTCTGTTTTAGATACAATGTGTGTATAAATATTATTTTTCTCCCCAATTTTTGTTTATAGTTTGTAAGCATTCCAACTGATTTTGTATTAAGGAATTATAAGTGGCTTGTACTTAGGCATTACCTTCTTTGATCAGGTTCAGTGAGTATTGGAAGAGCTAATAAAGTAATTTGAACAACTACATTATTGCACCATAATAAATGCATTTAAGGGAACCAGCAGTTAGCGTAATGGCTATGTCGCTGGATTCCCACATAGTCGACCGCGGTTCGCGTCCCGGACCCGGTGGCTTAAAACTCATGCCGGGCGCGTGTGCGTGCATGCCCAAGATCCCGAGAGGAGAATGGAGGAGAAGGGATTGAGGCGTGACCATTCACCCCGGGGGGTGATTTCTTGTTTTCTGTCTCTCTGTCTGTCTGGCGAGCGCACGCGTCCTATTGCAAAAAAACTCTCCAAAAAAAAAAAAGCATTTAATAGTTTTATACACACACACACACACACACACACACATATATATTTAATTTAAATACCAGAGGATGTGTGGGTAAAGGAGAAAAAGAGAGAAAGCACTTCCCCATGCTGCTATCCCCCCTTCCTCCAGTTCTCCATCAAGTGCCTGGCTTGTGTACACCTCTGGTGTGTATTTCAAGCTGCTGTGGCTGGACTTGAAATCTGGTTGGCCATGTGGGATCTGGCTTTCTCTGTATAGCACTTCACCTTTGTGCTAGGGGGCCAGCACTGTGGTTTTAATTTTTTTGGTAGGATAGAGTTGGTTCTTGGGTATTTTGCATGCCTCTTTTCATTTTAATCTAGATATTAGAATTTTAGGCCAGTTTGATTTAGAGCAAATTTATTATAACTACTTTCAGTTAAATTAGCTTTGTAATCTTTTGGTGCTGCCAGGAAGCCAGTGTAATATATAGAGGAGGCTGGGTTTATGTGTCAGATTGTGTTTGAATTGTGACTCCAGTATTTACTGGATAATTTATTTGACATTTAGTTTATTCATTTGTAATGGAGATCATATAGTGTCTGCTTCTGCATGTTACTGTAAAGATTAAATAAGATAATACATAAAACGGGCCTACCTCAGTGATTGGTATATTATTGGATACTGAAATAAAGTTGACCATCTCACCACCCCAAGCACATGTATAAGTTAAGTCTAATATTTGTTTCATCTTTGTTTCATAGGGATCTCTTGAGGAGGAAGTAAAGAAAATCAGTGACAACCATACTTTTCTTAAAACTTTAAAATTTGGATATACCTGGGATGATATTTCTATATTATAGATTTTTAGAAATGTGTTACATGGCATATTATCTATGGAAATAAAACTATTATAGTAAATTAACAAGAATATCAAAAGTTGTTACTACAATGAATATACAGAAATCTTTAGCTAACTGTCATCCAGGGAGTCAAGCTTCCAGAGTTAATGTGGCTATTATCATTAGTAAGATGAACAACTCTGTCACATAAGAGTTGATTTTAATTGGTACTATTTAAAATGTACTCTTTGCTTAAATAGGAGGAAAGAATCTAGTTACCCTAGATAGTTAAAGTTCCTGTTGAAAATAAATACTGATCAAAAAAGAGGGGGCAAAAGATGGCTTTATGGTTACATCACTGGACTCCCATGTAGTTGACTCTGGTTTGAGTCTTGGACCCAGTGGCTTGAAACTCACGCTGGGCACATGTGTGTGTGCCTGCGTAAAATCCCACAAGTAAAACGGGAGGAAGGAATGCAGCATGGCCATACCCCTGGGGGGTGGTTTTTCACTTTTGGTCTCTCTGTCTTTGCCTCTACAGCAAGTGTGTATGCTCTATCGCAGAAATCTCTTTTAAAAAGAGAGAGAGAGGGAGAAATTAATAAGAGTGGTTCCTAGTAAATCATTGATTTCTTTTATCTTCCATTTAGAAGAAAGGAAATTAGAGGCTACTATGAATTAAGGGTATTTTGCTTGATACATGTGTATTTTCATTTATTAATTCTCACAATATGTCTAGAGGTCAATTGGTGTTATCTTCATTTTGCAGAGAAGGAAATTGAGCTCAGGGGAATTGAGTAACTTCATAAGGTTATTTGGTAGTAAGTGGCAGAGCTGGGACATATTGAATATTTTTGTGTGTGAAAGGAGTGAGTTTTTAAAAAATATTTTCTTATATGTAAAATGAGGAAAGATTATTAGACACTTAATGTAAAAACTATTTTAACTGGGATCAACTACTGCTTTTAAGGTAACAGGCTTGAGCACAGATTAATTTGGTTCCAAGTTTATGCTACCTCCTTAGGGAATAGAAAGATGAATAAAACATGATCCATCTGTTTGATCTTGTAGACTAAGGGAAAAGATTGACGTGTGAGCTTATATAGTACTCTGTTAAAAGTTAGATGGGATTCCAGATGAGAGAATGATAATGCTAGGGAAAGTTTTCCAGAAAAGGTACCCTTTTAATGGTAAGTGAGAGTGTACCTGGTGGAGAAAGGTAAGCTGTTGGGAGTTTAACAAGTTGTAAAACTTGCACAAAGACATACATAGGCAGTGACAGGGTATGGCATCTTTTAAATTTTTGCCAGTAGGACTGTGCGCTCCAGAGATAAACAGGGATGGGAGTGGGAGGTGGTGAGAAAGCATCTCCCATGGTGAATGGTCATGCCACAATACCTTTTCCTCCATCTCTCTCCTTTCAGGATTTTGGGCGTATATGCACAAGTGCCCAGTGTGAAGCTGCCAGGTCGAGGACTTGAATTGTGCAGTTGGCCATGTGGGATCCAACCATTTTGGCCATCTGGCCAAGTGCTGACTTGGGTGTGGCATCTTGAAACTAAAACCAGGTTTTCAATTTAAATTTAGGATTTTCTCTATAGGAATAATCCATGAACTTTTTTTTTTTTGAGAGGTTTTTGCTATAGGGTTGTGCGCTCGCCAGACAGAGAGAGACATAGACACAGAAAGCAAGAAATCACCCCCCAGGGGGGATGGCCACGCTGCAATCCCTTCTCCTCCATTTTCCTCTCGGGATCTTGGGCACGCACGCACACGCGCCTGGCGTGAGTTTTAAGTCACCGGGTCTGGGACGCGAACCACAGTCGACTACGTGGGAGTCCAGCGACATAGCCATTACGCTAACTGCTGGTCCCATCAGTGAACATTTTGAAACAGAAAGGAATAAAAGAACATCATGGTGATGATGATAATAATAATAGTAATAGTTTAAGGAACATTCTGAAAGAGATTGTAAGTGACTTTGGTATTGCAAAGAACTATTTTCTTCATCTTAAAGAACTCTCAAATAATGAAGGGCTGGCTCTCTTATATTATTGATTGGTCTAAGTGAAATTATTAATTAGTTAACATAATTAAATTCCGCATATAAGGAACATCTTTCATGTTTCACATTAAAACCACCTGTTCAGGGACCAGCAGTTAGCATAATGGCTATGTTGCTGGACTCCCATGTAGTCAACTATGGTTCGAGTCCCGAACCCAGTGGCTTAAACTCACGCTGGGCGTGTGTACGTGCGTGCCCAAGATCCTAGAGGAGAATGGAGGAGAAGAGATTGCGGCTTGTCCATCCCCTCTGGGGGGGGGTGATTTCTTGCTTTCTGTCTCTCTGTCTCTGTTTTTCTGGTGAGAGCACATACCCTATAGCACAAACCTCTCCAGAAAAAACAAACAAACAAACAAACAAAAAACCTATTTAACTGTCATATAAAACTTGTAGTTCTAAAGGAACATGTAGATATTTAGCATAAATATTTTAGATAATTGAATGTAGTCAGAAAGTAATATTTGGATGGGCAGGAATCCAAATGATCTTGAGATAAAGAGTTTTTATGGTACTTTTATTTATTTTTGTTACATAGCAATTTAAGAAGCTAATTAAAAAACAAGAGTGATCTCTGATCAATAGACAGTGGTAAACTTTTGAGGGGGCGCATGCCATTCCAGTCACTTAGTAAAGTTTTAATATTAATTCAGATTCTAAAATTCTAGTCAACCAATGGCTAATCTAATTTTTTTTTTTTAAAGAAAAACAGGTTTCTGTTCTCATATATTTTAGTGTCCAGATTACAATAGCACAGTTGAGAGTTTGGATTAATTTGCTATAGTATAGTCTGATTTTCATCTAATACCTAAGGTAGCTGCTTCAACTGATCAAAATTTTAGTCTATTTTATTAGTTGTGAACACACCACTTTATTTGCTATTTCTCTTTTCTTACTACCAATTAGACATTCCTTAGCATGCTAAACCAAGAAGGAGCCTTAAAAACCGTCTGGTTTACTTTACCATTTTACAAATGAGGAAACTTTTTTTCTGAACTTTTGTTTCCAGTGATTCATTAGTTCAGATTTTCTTCTGTTGAGCTGTGAGTTGATTGCAGTCTTCTTTCTTTCTGGTCAGACTCTGTTTTTCCATTTCTCAGCCAGTGGTACAAGGAAAAGGGAAACTGAAGAGAAGAGATAACATATGCCAGAGAAGTAGAAAGAGCAGGTGTACGTCTGAGTATAATCAGATAGCCAGCCTGGAAGAAAGGATTGATTTCTATTAGTGAAACGACAATAACTAGTACTTCTCAGTCATGAACTATTCTTAGAAGAAAAGAGCCTTTTATATTTACCAATCTATTGTGACCCATTAGAAAGTTAGTTATGTTCTTTATCTTATATTCTATTGATGAGGTTGTATCAGTTCCATCTGAGTTAGGGATTTAAACTTGGGAAAAACTCACTATGCATTGGGAACTCATCTTCAGTTTTATAATGAGAATTAAAGGAAATTTGAGACACATACCATTTCATTTTATGATGAATCTTATTAGAAGACCACTATTCTTACAAAGAAAATAATCAGGAATAACAGTTTTCTAAAGACAAAAATGAGAAAACTGATTGTAATCTTTTTTTCTTTTGCTGAACAAACATTTGAATGCTTATCATAGTCTCAGCAGTAGGTTTGGTGTTAAGCCCAAAGTAGACTTGATCCCTGCCTTCATAGGGGTTCTAACTTTTTATGTGTTTTTCTTTTTTTTTTTTTTAAATTAAAAAATAATTTCAGTTTACCTGTGGGCATTAGTCCTCCCCAAAGAGATAGTGAGAAGGATAAAGCATCCCCCTATTGGGTATAGTCATGCCCTAATTCCTCCATTCTCCATTCAGTCTGGATTTTAGACACAGAAGTACGTATGCCCAGCATGTTTTTCCAAGCCATTGGGGTCGGGATTTGAATCCCACATGGTGGACCATGTGGGATCCAGCTTTTTATTTTTATTTTTTGAGAGGATTTTTGCCTTAGGGTGTGTGCGTTCGCTGGAGAGACAGACAGCCAAGTAAAAGGAAAAGTGAGAGATTACCCCCAAGGGGGAATGGCCATGTTGCAGTCCCTTCTCCTCTATTCTCCTCCCCGGATCTTGGGCATGCATGCACATGTGTCGAGCATGATTTTGAAGCTATCAGGACCTGAACTGTACCCAGCCATATGGAAGTCCAGTGACTTAACTTCTACACTGTCTGCTGGTACATGGGACCAAGCTCCCTTAACACAGATCCCAAGCTTTCAGTGTAGGGGGAGATAGGTTTTAACTGCATAAATTAGACGGGAGCTTGAGAGCATGTGAGAAGGCTGACTGACTGATCAAGTGGATTAAAAGATAATTAGTTCCCCATGAAATGAATGTTTTTGTAAAAGCAGGAA